TCCTCCTCCGCCTCCTCCTCCTCCACCTCCTCCTTCTCCTCCTTCTTCTTCTTTTATTAATCCTCACCTGAGAATATTTTTTTCCCATTGATTCTGAGATAGAGTGGAAGATATAGAGAGAGTGGAAGGGAGAGGGAGAAACATCGAAGTGAGAGAGACACTTGGATTGACTGCCTCCCAACCAGGGCCAGGGTTGGAGCCTGCAACCAAGGAATGTGCTCTTGACTAGAATCGAACCCGGGACCCTTCAGTCTAAGGGCCGATGCTCTGTCCCCTGAGCCAAACCCAGGAGGGCATGTTTGGTTTAATTTGAGATATTATTACCTGGGGAAGGTGTGTGTGTGTGGGGGGGGGGGTCAGGGACGTGGAGAACTTACTGCGTTCATTCCTTGCCCAAAAAAGGGCACAATGGCGTGAGCTGCGTCTCCCATCAACACACAGCGTGACTTAAAGTGAAAAGGGGAGCACTTCACAGAGATCATGGGCTGGGCGGGCAGCAGGAAGAAGTCCCGTGTCAGGGCTTGCCTTCGGAGAAAGAGGAACGGAATGGAAAGATGGTAAACTAGGCGCTAACCACTGCCCCATCCTTCCACGTCTTTTGGCTTCGTTACCATAGGACTTTATTGACGGATAAATACACAAGAATAGCCGGAGAGGGAGATACTGAAGTTTCTTCTGATCCCCACATTTCATTTCTTAAAAAGATATATTCTTATTGATTCCAGAGAGGAAGGGGGAGAGAGAGAAAGAGAGAAACATCAATGATCACAGAGAACCATTGATCAGCTGCCTCTCTCATGCCCCCTACCGGGCATGTGCCCTGACCAGGAATCAAACCATGACCTCCTGGTTCATACGTAGGTCAGTGCTCATCCACTGAGCCACATCGGCCAGGCCTGATGTTCATTTTAAAGATGAAAACCTTGAGACTCAAGGAAGTCAGGGGCAGAGAAGTCTTAAAACCGTGCTCTTTCTGCAGCCTTGTGTGCCTCTGTGAAGACATCATTGGGGAGAAAGTGAGCTGGACTCCAGGAGGGAGGGACAGTGGGACACAGGCACTGAGTGAGGCCAGGGGACAAAGGCCCACCGGGAGGGGTGATGCTGACATGGGCCCGAGGAGCCGATACCATCACTTGCTATGTGCCAGGCGCTGTGATGAATGATTCATGGGCACAGTGCCCTTCAGTCCTCACAGTAAACCTCTGGGGCAGGCACCATTGCTATCGGCATTTTACTGTGGCGCTGAGACGAAGGAAAGCTTGCACAGCTGGTACGTGAACTTGGGGCTGCTGGTATCCGCTGTGGCTCAGAGCTGCTTCTTCACCAGGGGCCTGAGAGCCCGCACAGGATATAGACAGGCCTGGGGACATCGGTGACTTGTCTTTCCCAGAGAAACTGGCTGTGGCCTGGGGTTGTTCAACTCACTGCTCACAGCACAGCGTCCGCTTTTGCTAATGCAGGCTTCATGTCTAGGTCACTGCCTAAGGGGCATGTGTCAGCAAAACAGATAAGGCGCATAATCTCCATTCGATTTTTGAATAACAGACCAATGGAGCAAAAGTCATGATTGCATATCTTGTTTGTTTGTTTGTTTGTTGTTAATCCTCACCCGAGGATATTTTTCCATTGATTTTTAGAGAGCATGGAAGGTAGAGGGAGAGGCAGAGAGAAACATCGATGAGAGATACATCGACTGGTTGCCCCCTGCATGCACCCTGGTCGGGGTCGGGGAGCCTGCAACCAAGGTACGTGCCCTTGACCAGAATCAAACCCGGGACCCTTGGCTGCCTCCTGGAGGGCGGGGGGGATGGAGCCTGCAATCCAGGCATGTGCCCTCGGCCAGAATCAAACCCGGGACCCTTTAGTCCGCAGGCCAACGCTCTATCCACTGAGCCAGACTGGCTAGGGATGATGGCACATCTCAAGACTTACTCGCCCATGAGAGGGACGGCGTCCGGGAAGTACTTGTGGAAGAAATCCAGCACGTCTCTGCTGGTGGGAAGTTTCTCGAACTCTTCGAAGGGCATGAACAGAGTGCAGGTGAAAGTTTTGTTCTGTGAGGAAAGGAACAGGGTGAGTGGGAATAGGAGGCCCGTGATGTGGGCATAAATGTGAAACCCCAAATCGCAGGGCTTCGGCTGTGGCAGATGGCCCCTGGGAGGAGTGTCCAAGCAGACGGGAGAGGCAGCCTCGCGCTCCCCGACGCCCAAAGGAAAATGCTGCTGAGCTCCAGCTACTCCTCTGCTTCTCAGTCATTAGGGGAATTTCTACCTTGTGAGTTTCAGACATTTTCACCAAGCAAACACCACACCTTGGATTACTACTAGGCTGGCTGGATTTAATATCGCCTCCCTGTTTTCCTCTATCGTTCGTCTTATGACAGTATGAATAGGCATCGGACCCAAGATTGATACCAAGAGAAAAAAAGATAACAGAAAAAGAACAACAGATAACGATATCGATCTACATTGCATAATAACAATAACAATAATGAAATAACAATAACACTGTACATTTTATATATAAAAACGTGGAGAGTCTAATGAAAGAACAGCCCTACTCTTTTTTGATAATGTATATTCCAATTTATATATATAAAAGCCTAAGTGATTGTTGCACCATTTTACCCTTCAGTTGGTGGCTATGATGCACACTGACCATCAGGGGGCAGACACTCAATGCACAGGCATGGAAACATGGAACAGACTGATGAATCTCAGAGGGAAGCGGAGAGGAGGGAGGGAAGGAAGAGATTAGCCAAAGATTTTACATGCGTACTAGAGGCCCGGTGCACGGATTCATGCACTGGTGGGGTCCCTTGGCCTAGCCCTAGCCTGCGCCCTCTCGCAATCTGGGACCTCTTGGTGTTTTATAAATCTTAAAAACTGAAAGTACTTCCTAATGCACTACCTAAGTCTCTTTGGCTTTTGGGGGGCCACTTCTTTCTTCATTGTCTTGGGAAAGACAACAGGCTCCACAACACAGGACCCCCATCAGTCATTCATGGATGCTGACCCTCCTTTCCAATGTAAATAATCGGAATGGCTTCAGTTTTCCCTCCGTAAGCCCCGAGTTTCAAAGATGTGATCACTCTATAGCCTACACGATGCTGAGGTTAATTAGGTATACACACCCTCAGTGCAAAAGTGAATAAAGAACAACATTGATTGTAGACGCAAAAGTACAGGAGCTGAGAGATGCCATCCTACCTTGTTAGGAAGTGCAATCATCATGAAGGTGTTTCGAGGCCAGATGTGCAGATAATTCGGTTCCATGGCAAACTGCAGAGCAATGTGTATATACCTGGTTAGTGTGTTATTGCAATGCACCTATAAAACGGACTATGCTTACCAGTATTTTATAATTTTCCCACAGGAACTTAAATCAGTGTCATATTCATAATGATATCTATTACTACAAAGTAGAAATAGTCTTAGATAATACTTTGTGC